TATGAAATGCTAGTATGGGTGGTGGGATACGTAGCTTACTTCCTACTCGGGACAGTAACTACAGGAGCAGAGAGACACACTCAGCTGCTCAGGTAAAAGCAGATCGTGCAGGAATTAAAGCACTCGCACGCCTGCAGCGTGGCACGCTCACCATTTGACTGCCAGGTTAGGCTGTAGTTTAAGTTTCTGCATAATAGATATGACAAGATGCAAAATCTCAAGACAGGATCTCATCTGCACGGTGACTGCGCTACAGAGGAATCACAATAAAAACCATGTTTCAAAGCAGTACAATAACCGTGATGCAAGTTGAAAAAAGAAAAAAAAACAAAACAAAACCAAAAGGCAGGCTAATCTTTCCAAAAATGATACTGCCTTTAGAAAAGCCAAGATAATTATTCTTTTATTTAGGAAACCAGGCTTGGGTCTGGTTTGGTTTCTTAATATAAAGGTTCTTAGGCTCCTACCAGCACTTTTTCCACTTTTATGATTTTCTTCCTAGTGCCCTGTGACTCTAGGACAAAGTTTGAGATAAAACGATTATAATAAGTAAGGACAAAGTTACTTGGGAATTGAGGACACTGCTGCAGTCCCTCATCTTCTTAACTGACGAAATGAATGGAGCTTTAGTGGAATATATGTCTGAGAAAATTCAAAGCTAGTTTTTGTTTATAATTACTAGTACCATGCAAGTATCCTTTCCAGAAAGCCTACTCTATCACCCAGAAAGCAGATGCAAATATGGGTATAGACACGGAGTGCAATGAAGCCTGTGGTAATGCTCACATTAACTGCCGTGCAGTCAGATTTTCACCCCATATATGTATATGGGTACACGCACACACACACCCGCACACGCGCTCCTCTGGCGATTTTTGACAGACATCACTTGCATCTGGGCTCGAGTCAATGCCTGCCGCCTTCTCCGAGTTTTTTTCCTAGATTTCAGTGGATGTTAGATGAGGCTCTCTGTTAATCTGAACATAAATAACCATAAGGGGCTTGATCCCAAGCTCCTTTACGCCGCCGTGCCTACCAAGTGACTCTCCTGGCTGCAGGGGAGCCGCTCGGGATTCATGCCCGGGGTAACTCCGAGCAGGATCTGCCCCAGCAGACGCTTTCCTTCACGCCTGCCCCTGCCCTCGGGTTTCGTACGAGCGCAGAAGCAGGGAGGGGACTGCAAGCATCCTCTACCGCTGCTCAAAAGGGCTTTTGTAACCTGCTCAGCTGCTGCTGGGCATGAAACTGAAAAGTTGAAGAGGCTGGCATGGCAGAAAGCAACTCCCTCAGTTTGTTTTGCCGCAAGACACATCTGGGTTTGTGGGGCTTCCAGTATGAGGAGGCTTCAAGACCAGCACCTCCGCGAGACAGGGGCTGGGACACGACACCGTGCTCCCCCGAGCCACCTTTGTCCCTCGCACAGGCGAAGGTTTGGGGAGGGCGCAAGGCGCTGATGGACCCAGCTCTTCTGATAACGGGGGGGGGCGGCAGGGGGAATAAACCCCCAAACTTTTAATTTTTGTCTTTTCCACTTGTTTTTGAATTAGCATTCAGTGTCTGACGCCACGACACGGATAGCTAAAAATGTGTGCGCAGATATGTTATCCATGAACAAAGTGGCTCGTGTTTGTTCTTTATTATTTAGGAAATGCACATTAATTACTGCAGATTTTCTCCTATACATCTACTGTATCTCAGACAGAATTGCTGAGAAGGGTCTGCGGAATAAAAATGTATGGGGTAATTAAATGGATATTTATAATTAGAACTTAATAATTTGCATCAGGGACAAATGAGCTCTGATTTCAATCTGTAGTGCATTTAGATTAGCCTGAAGATAGTGTAATTTCATGTTTTATAGTCCTCCTCCCAGATTATGAAACAATACAGTGTCTTTAAAGCAGCCGTGTTTGTGTCAGGAGCGTGTTAAGAAGAAGCCGCAATGAAAATGTTTGACAACGTGAAAGCAGCCATAAATTACATGACAACTGTGTAAAAGTCGTGATGAAACAAATAAAGGGCTGACCTACAACGCATCTGATTCAGCACCGCACCCGAACCGCTCGGCGCTCATCCCGGCGTGGCAAGCGCATCCTTATGCGCACAGCTACTTAGTACCGAGAAAACTGTAAATTATCACTAGTCAACAACATTGATTTTTAGTCGACGTTTCAATCAGTTTGAAGTAGAAACACTACACCGCTCCCCCGGCAGCCTCTTAGCCAGCCGGCTGCTCGGCCGTAGCCTTTCAGGTCGCAGCTCTGTTACAGCCCCATTGTTCCCACCGTACAATATTTATCGCAGGCTCTCCAGATACAGGTACTTGACCTAAAGGTCACCGCCTTGTCTCTTGGACGTACAACCTACCTTCGCTACCGATGCCGTTTACCCAAATGCGGGGAGCCCCCGCGAAGCCTGCTACCTCCCCGAAGACGTACTGGGTGAACTTCCCCCAAGGGACGGGGCATTGCACAACCGCAGCCAAGCACGCGCCCCCCAGACCGAGTGCCTGCGTCTCCACGGAGTTCGAACACGGGGCGAGAGGCGAAGCGGCCAAAGAAGCAGGGTGGATCCCTCGCAGGGAGAAAGGTCATGGCAAAGAGCGGGTTGGTTTGAAGATGCGACCATGTCTTTTCTTTACTTCCCGGCTTTGCCGGCCACTGGCAGGGAGGAAGGGCAGCACAGCGGGGACGGCCCCAGGCTCTCGTCCCCGCTCTGCCGCAGCTCTCCTGTCTTACCCGGGGCGAGTGACCCCACCTGTGCCATGCTGTAAAACAGCAGTTGCCTGTCTCGCCCCGGTATTGCAAGGGTGTATTCATTAACATCTCCGAAGCACTCAGGTCCTCACATAATCGAGGTAAACACTGTGACCAGCAGATAACAGGGAGTCCTGTGCAGGCATTACACACGGCAGCTGCACACGTGCGTAGGCAAACGCCTGGGAAAAAATACAGGGGTGCCAAGTCGCTGGGAAGTTCACAATCAAACCAGTTACGGTTTGACACGCAACACGGAGAGCAACGGAAGAACCAGTTTCAGGAGGGAGACTTCCAGACCCAGAGCCCTGGCACCCAACACCGTGGAGCCATATCCCACAGCCTCTTCCCAGCCTTTGTATTTTCCTCCCAGAGAGCAGAGCTCAGTGCGCCGCACATCATCAGCTGCTAGCTAAAAACGCAAAGGGGAAGGAGAGGAAACAACTGTGGTCTGAAAATCCCAGCCTCCTCAAAAACGAGGACTCACAGACCCGGATGCCCCACACGTAGCTGGGTGGCCAGGTGAAGCTTTCGCCACCAAGGCCATCCCTGCACCTACCCCCTTTCCAGCCATCCCTGCACCTACCCCCTTTCCAGCAGGGATGGCCGCGTGAGATAGAGTCGTAAGCGCCAAGCGAGCCTCCCAATCCCCAGCGAGGCACGACGCTGGGAGCCCATCAAAGGGGCACAGGACAGGCAGGTGACCCGCTCCCACCTACCCTCTGCGTCTCTGAAAATGCCACCCTTCGCGGCAGGGGGGAGCCTGTGTTTTCCCAGCTACGCCCTTTCTGTGCATTTTGAAAGCCACCTGGTGTCAGCAGGACGGAAAACAAGGTGCCGAGATCTTCCTTTGAGGAGTTTCTTGTTTGACCGAAGTACACGTTATTCAAATCAGCTACAGTGAAATGCAGTTAAGCTGCTGTTTGTTCCAGCACGATGAGACTGGCCTGTTAAAAAGCAAAAATGTCAGGATGTTACAGGCTCAGCCTCCTGCCAAGACTGGTAAGTAGCTGAACAACTGTCAGAAACAGACAGCATAATCGGAAACCAGGAAAAAAAAAAAAAAACCAACCCAAAACAACCCTGAATTCAGACCGCGTTGCCGAGTCGCAGGCGCGCTGGGGCCACCTACGCCCCCAGCCAGGTGCTCTTGGGAAGCTCCGACCTGGCGCCCACGCTGCGAGCTCCCAGGTAGCATCCGCCGCAGCCCCATTTACTACACCCCTGCCAAATCCACCTCTCGCAAAGCAAGTAACTTTAAGAAAAAACAACGGTAACACAGTAAAGATCCCCGATTTGTCTTTATTCTCACCACCCCGGCGTTACAAGAAGGCACCTCCACGTCACGCGCAGCCCGGCAATTTTGTGACGCCTGTGTGAAGGCTGGAAGCGCAGCCACCTTCGCACCAAGTGCAGGTCTGCGCTAGGGGGTCAATTTGAATTTTTTCTCCTAAGTTATTTAAATGGGTGGGAGCCACCGTGTAAAGGTGCTATCGTTCACAGGCTGGGGACCTGCGCTCGGTCCGTCCCCCGGTTTCCCCCTCCCCAGCCAGGCAGGGATTGCCTTACAGATGCTTTTTACCCCTGAATTTAACTCCTGCTATTTCTGAAATCTCCCAGGCACACGCACGCCCCTCCTGCTCTCACACACTCTCGGAGTTTAATTTGCCTCTCAGAACACCAAACTCTCTCTCCCCCCCGCC